TTTTTTTCTACGTGAAAATTTCGAAAGATATCCAATAGATCGATTTCACTATATTTTAAATCAACTATCAATATTAATATCCTTTTTTAATTGAAACATCGATGAGAAATCAGTTTAAATAATAATAATTGATAATTTATAAATGATATTTTCACTTACAAAATCAATTATAGTTGAAAACTAGTAATTATAATTTTTGTATCCATATTTAATACAAAAGACGCACTGTACTTATTTTTAAACAAAACATACATGCAAGAAATATAACAAGCAACAATTTAATAGTATACGAGAAGGAAATTTACAATCTCTACGCATATAATGTGAATCAGTCATCTTTTTTCGAGTAGTGTATGCATACACAGCACAAATTTTCCGAGGAGTTTTTCCATTTGTTGTTTAAGATATACGAAATTGAAAGTATCTAACAGTAAGTCTAGTTAATTGATAAGTCAATGCAGGACGATCTATTCTAGATTTGGGAGCGCTATAAGTTTCATGCAATCAATGATGGCGAACTACGCCAGAAATGTGCAGCACGCCTAAAAAACTAGGTGAGAGTACTGCAAAGAAAGACGGCGATTGCCTTAACTCTTCCCGATTGGTGGCACCATTTCACCTGATGGTAACTGAAAAATATTTTTGTTTCATCAATTTTTCCTTTATATTTGTTGGAATATTCGTTTCCGTCTTAACTTATTTTGTAGGTAAATTTAAGTTTAAGGTGAACTTAAATATGATGCTCATCACAATGCTTTTCAGCATTTAATGCACATTCTTTTTAAAAAATTTCTAATAATAGAACTTAACAATTGATATGATTAAGGCGCCGCCGCCCAAAAATGATTCATACATTCCATTAGAACGAGTGCGGTGCACATCTCTAAACTACACTGATCGAAATATATGTATCCTAGTATATCTAAAAGTATCTTCTCTTAATCATAGCACGAAATTGTATATATGCGGACTTGATCTGAATTCTTCTTACCGTGCATCATCACTACATAGACAACGGAATCGTCCATGTTCAAGTGGAATACATAAATCAGAACATGGATTATTTGTACAATGATTAATTATTGCTATAACATAAAATCATATATAGACTATTAAATAAAAGAAAAAAAACTAATAATAATTTAATAATTACTTGAACTTATTGGGATAGAAGGAGCCATGTCAACAAATAATTTTAATGAATTAAAATTTTTAAATTTAGTTATTTTTTTTGCAAAACTTTTTGCTAATATATCAACAGATTGTAAATGAATCGCTGATGAATCTGTATTATTATTTTGATGTGTAAAATAAAGTATTGGATGTATAAATAAAGGATTTTGTATAATTGATGAATGTTCATAAATAATTCTTGGTACATGATGATGATAATCAAGTGTATTTAATCCATAAATAGTTGAATTAATAACAAAAATAATTTCATGTGTTACTGAATCATATGATATATAACTTAAATTTGAATCTATTGATGATAAACGTATATATTTTTTAATTTGTCCTTGAAGATTTCCTATATTTAATGTTAATGGTGAATTATGTGATATCCAATAAAGATTTGTTTTAATTGGATCAACAAGAATTATTGATGGTTGTATACGTTGATTTTTAATAATTGTACGTCGTTTATGTGTACGAATATTAAGTATAAATATTGTTTGTTGTTGAGTTTTTTTATTACGAATAAGAACATATAAATTTTGTGCTAATTTATCAAGAGTTATATATTCAATATGTTCATCTGTACTTTTATATAATTCATTATTCGAATCAAATGTTAATCTTTTTGTATCACGATTTTGTTGACGAAGATTTTTCTATAAAAAATATATATATATATAAATTTATTTCATATGAAATAATTTTTACTTACTCCTATACTATAAATAATTGAAGATTCATCATGTTCAACAGCTATATAAACTTGTTTACCATTTTCATCAAAAACAAGTCCTGTTATTTCATATGTTTCATCAATAAACCAAGTTGTATTTTGTATAACAACTTCATTATCGTCATCATCATCATCATCATCATTATCATCATCATCAATATTATCATCAAAATCATTTGTATGTATTTCAACAATAGATTTTTTTGTACGTGAATCAATACCATAAACAAAAAAATTTGGATGATTTGGATCACGACGTGTTATTTGAACATCAGAAAGATAATTTTCAATTCCATTATTACACTGACTATTTATTGATTTAATATATCCACGACGTTTTGTTAATAATGTACTATTATCATTACAAGTACAATCTTGTGTAAAAATATAATGTGATTTTGGTAAACATATTCCATCTTTTGAACGTCTATAATCTGATGAACATTGAAAATCGGATAATGTACATGCACATGGTTCAATTCGAACATGTGATGCATTATCAAGACAATGTGAACCAGATATACGTCGTTTATAAAATAATTTTGAACCATTTATACAAGCACCATGTAAAGACCATTCTTTTAATTGATGACGAGCACATTGTTCAACTAAGAAAAAAAATATTTTTGTTTTTTTAGCGATCATATTTAAATAATTTATTAACTTACCAATAAGAAGATTAAAATCAAGCTGAATTAAATTTAATTGATTTTCATTATTTAATGTTAAAATATGAAAAATATTATTATCATTAGCAATAAGAGATAAGATTTGAAAGGATGTTTCATTTGAAAATGTTCCTGAATGCCAACTACGACCGTAATCAGTTGAATATCTTTATAAATAGTAAAAAGAAAGATAAAGAATGTCAGTATTTTTTTTTTACAAAGATGTTCTTCTTACAGATAAGAATGATTCGTAGATTGTTGATTAGGATTTGGTATTGTGACTATAAGAGCATTTGGATTTGATAGTGCTGTTAAATAACCATTGCCTTTTAAACTCTAAGAAAAATTTTGAATAAATTATTTTAGAAAAATTTTATTAAAGATAATTTACTAATCGCCATAATCGTCCACCATTAGGTGAGATCGCTACATATTCATTTACACCATCCGAAGCTTTAAATACATGAAAATACATATGTTGTTTTTGAAATTACATTTATTTTACCTTTTCCTACAACAATTCCTGGCGCAGCATTCGAAGAACTTAATGACTTTATTACAACTGATACATTATTCGGACAATTTATCATCTAATATTTAATATGTAATTTTAAAAACCTGATAAACTTTTATAAATACCTTATTGCATTCATAATGTGTTTTATTCCAAGTGATTCCACCATCAAATGAAACCACTGTAGTTGCTTCTGGTGCAATATTTGCTAAGAAAACACTTTTTGATAAACCATGTACTTGATAAAATGGTATTTGTTCTCTTGAACATCTAGAAGATTAAAATTGGTTTGTCTTTTTTTCAAACTGTTATTAAATATATATATATATATATATCAATTTTACTCGATCGGTTTTAATGAATTATCATTATTTATTGATTCACAATTAATATTTGATAAATTAAATAAACCCTGTTTTGTATAACTAATAAGATTACATGTTGATAAAATTGTTTCATTATTTTCTGTTAATCTATTATCAGTAATAAATAAAAGTAATAAATCTTGAGTATTGATGTCTTCAATAGCACAATAAAACTAAAATCAAAAGCAAGTTATAAAGAATTCACTTGAAATGATTTATGTAGTTTTGAGATCACATTTTAGGCTTATAGAAAGGATGTCAAGACTAGAATAAACCTAAAAGATTTCTGATCTATAGACCTTCTATACAGAATTATGATAGTTCTGTTGAATTTTTAACCACAGGATGGATCAGAGTTATAATCAGTCCAATCCCACAGATTTGTTAGATCGTTATTAATCGGTTAATGAAAATGGCTTCAACAAAAAAATACTTGGTTTCTCAAATATGAATATGTGATATTGCGAAAGAAAGAGTCATTTTATCCATAAATTAATTGCTAGAACTCAACTGTTTCTGAAAAACCTAACATTTCTCTTTGACCTATATCCAAACCTAAATTTGATCTTTACCAAAAAAGTTTATCTCAAGTAACACACTTTTGATTATAATTTTTGGAAAAAAAAACAATGAAATATACTTCGATTAAAGAAATAAAACTGATAGTTTTTGAAGCCACACTGCTCAATTATTTTGATAAGAACAAGTAAACTTATTCTCAACAAATTTTTATCAGAGAAAAATGACATATCTATAAAAATATTTTCTAACTGATGAAGACCAATCCGATTACAACTCTGGGATGAACTATGAAAAGAAAATTTATTTTCTTCTTGAAATATATAATGTTGAAAAATTACAGAATTTTTTTGAATTCTTTCTAAAATCTAATTGATTTTTGAAACATTGAATATTTCATAAAGAAAATACTCGTTATGACTGAAACTTGAAGAATCACACACACAACTTATAGGTATCCTTCTTGTCAATTTTCCTCTTCATAGTCTATCCTGTGATGAAAAAAATTCAGCAAAATCATCATAACTCTATATAGAACGCCTAAAATTTCTTTCAAAATGCTAAAAATGTGAACTTAAAAGTTACAAATCATTTCAAACGATTTCCTGAGATGGGGAAACAACAGACTTCAAGATTGAAGATTCTGGTGTTTCCTATTCGCGATGTTCCCATAAATAATTAAAGAAAACCAAAAAAAAAAAGAAAATATGGTTCATACATTTCCCTGTGATTGTAATCGTTTAGGTAACGGTCGAAAAATTTCATCAGCTAAATTATTCACATGACCGGTAACAATTGCATCCTAAATAAACAAACAAAAAAACCAAATCTTTGGTTTATAAAATAAAATTTTATTTTTACATTTGATTGTTTTGTAAGTAAATAACGTGAAAAAAGTTTTGTTGATGATACATCATTTAAAATTGGTATTATATTATCTGTTGTTATATCAAGTAATTTTATATAACGTGAATGTTGAATAATAACAACGGCTTGTGCTTTATTTGACCTAGAAAAAAAAGAAATTTAAATAACTAAATTTATTTGAAAATATTTAATGGAACGAAAACATACCAACCAAGTACTGAAGAACTACTACTTTGTTCAACTTGTTTCCAGTCAATACCTGAATTTTGACTAGTATATAACTATTATTTGGAAAATTATATGAAAGATTAAATTTAATTTAATAAAAAAAAAAAAAAAAAGAAGTTCTTACGCCAACTTCATCAGATGTTTCAGCAATCCATAAATTATTTGCTGATGAAAAAATATAAATTTGTTTTGGTTTAAAATGTATTTTTGGATTTTCTTGATGAGTAGAATTTAATATCCAAAGTTCTTGAGTATTATCATCAAAAATAACGAGAAACTATAATAAATAAATTTAGTTATAAATATATTAATTGAATATTTACATTCGATTGTTCTTTTTGTTGATTAACTGGTATAATATGTGCATATTTAAAATGATTTCGAAGTGTTCCATCAGTTTTATTAATTAATAAAATTTCATGTTCACTCAAAACAAGAACAAGTAAGTCATTTAAATAACTATTAAATATCACATTAGATAATGATAATGACGATAAATTGACATTTATTGAATACTAAAACAACAAAATACAAAAGGTTATTTTTGCGTGTTTTTTTTTGTCTTTTTCCAATGATAAGAACATATGAAAAAGAACTCATGTTTTTCTTTTTTTTTAATGGCAAATCATCAAATTTTTGATACATATAAACATTGTAGATATTATCATAATTATATACATTCAACTAAACTTGAATGCAAATTAATTTCCATTCAGTTACTCAATTCATTTCTTTTTTTTAATAACTAATAGTTCTTCTCACGATGAATATTCATATATGATTCACAATACTAATAAAAATCTGAAATCATTTTTTTACCTCAGTTAGAAAATTTTTCACTTGTTTTTCATTAATTATTGTTGTAGTTGTAATTGTAGTTGTTGATTCTGTAACCTTGTCAACAGTATCTTCAGCAATATCTTCAACAATATCTTCAACGCTTGATTCTATTATTATTGTTGGTGTTGTTGTTGTTTTTGTTGTTAAAATTGTATTAGAGATATCATTGCTATCCAAATTATTATCTTCCTCAACTATTGAAATAACAGAAGTTGTATCGGCACAGGATCCAAGATGAGTAATTAGTATAAGAAAAAAGATAAAAACGTAATAAATAAGACGATGCATTATCTAAAACTAATCTTACAAAAAAAAAAAAAAAAAGAAAATGTTTACCACAAGCTATACACTGATAGCAGCTGACGCAAACATATGCATCTGTATCAATGAAATACGTCTAAAAACAAATGCAAGCTACCCTTCTCCTACGCTAGAGATTCATAGAGAGAATGATGGGAAACATTTGTATGTATGTTGATTCGCATACAAAATATTCTAATGTCGATCTACAGTATTGCTTAGCTAAAGTATACATAATGTAATAAGGTCATATGCGGCATTCTTTTTAATAGACTTTTGCCTGCATTTTCATCATCATATGCAATACCATCATTGCTTTATCGTATGGGAGAAATAATAACTATTGCAATATGAGAACATACAACAAATAAAAGCAAAAACAAAAAATATTGATTTGTTTTTTTTCCTTTTTTTCCTTTTTTTTTTATTACCTCAATGGCTTTCAAAAAAGCAAATCTCTTACGAAAATAATGGTTTAATGGTTAGTTTACCAAGTATACATATAAAAGTTGGAATTGCCTTTCATCATGTATATGATATGGATGATTAATAATTGACGTGTGCTAGCTCCAGGATGCTGTTTTTTGACTTAGACAACAAAGACATTTTTCTACTTACTTATAGTTGTTGTTCTTATACTCAACTATATATAAGAATATTCATATGTGTTGTGTTTTCAGGGACACAATCATCAACGTTCTTTGCTTTCCTACAAATGAAGCAAACATGCGGTTTTTTTTTTTATCCTTCGCACACTTAAACGACGGCATGTATTTGCTTTTTTCGTGTTCTCAGCTGCACAAGCAGTCAGGCAAGCATAGACGAGGGAAAATGTGAAATCATCTTAATAGAAAAAGAAAAAAGAAGTATGCAACCATAAAAATAGTAACTGCAATAGAAGTGCAGAAAAACGAAAAGAAAAGAACAACAAGTAAAAACAAAAAGAAAAAAAAAAGACTACTGATGTTTTACATGACCTTCATCATTGTATGATTATCATTCGTAATATACAACTCAAATATGACGACAAAACCTTTATTTTTGTGACATACTAGGTAATAACGATTGACCAATAAATGATAAATCGATTTCTACAAAGTATTTACATGCTTCATCGACCGTCTCAAATATTTTACTTTTCTTTTTTTCTCTTCTTTTCTTTTTCTTTATTTCTAAAAATATCAAAATACAGATGCTCCAAGGACTTTATAAAAAAAAAAAAGCTTAAATTGTTTTCGAGGCACTTCACAATGAAAGAATAAATTTTTCTTAGTAAACTTTATCAAAAGACTATTGAATAACTCCTTTTGTTTTGACACTCAAAAAAAAAAAAAAATTATGTTCTATACATTTCGAATCAATAAAATATTTTCTTATCAATTTATCAGAAAGAATAACTTTTAAAAAAATAAACTTGTAAACAAACAAAAAATATTCATGGAACATACCATTATAAATTTTACAATTTTATAATCATTATCTATACAATGAGAAATATATTATAGAATATTACCATACTCAATAGAACGATACAGTTTGTATTATTAATATATTTTTTTTCATCACTGTCCCACATTCTGTCTCTCTCTCTCTCTCTCTCTCTCTCTCTCTCTTCTTCCACGATATATATTTATTTCGCACCCTAGACGCTTTGCTATTTCATCGCCTATTTCATGTCTACTCAATGCAATGAATCACCTCGCCACCAAAAAAATATATTACTATTGCGTAGTTATGTGTCATTTTACATATAAAAACAAGTAATCTAAAGTAGTCGAAAAGAAAAGTGATCTTTACTCATGTAGATACTTTTTTTAAAGATACCGCCGATGTACGGCAATTTTGCTTATACACGAGTAAATTTGTGGGAGTTTATCAGTGATATTGTAAACCAATGTGGTTTTTGCAGTTAAATAAACTAACAAAATGGGTTGTTTTTTGATAAAGATATTATTTTTTTTTTTTGTTAACATAGAAGTTTTGTAAGAACTACAAATATATCTTAAAAAACTTTATATTAAATCTATTTTATAAGAGACTTATATTTAACAATTGTCGTTTGTTGTGTAAAACCTTCTGAAGAAGTTTTAAAATCTTCTCTATATTATTTATGTGTGATGTAATGACACATAAATCTAGTGGTTTTCCTGATTACTATTTTAACACATGTTGGAATTTCTCTGCGGTTATATCTCTGCTTATTTATTAGGTAGATCCTTTTCGTTCTGTGATATATTATTTTTGTCCTATAGAAAATATTTGATTATATGTCAGCATCCAATCTAAGATTCAGACCAACATAAGATTCAAGGTTGAATTAGTGTAAAACTTTGATCAAACAAAGAGTTGAGATCAAAATTCAATTTTACAGCAATGTCGAATTAGGAAAAAATTTTTCATAAAACTCTACACGTCATAACAGAAACTATAAATGTAGGAAAAACAATCGAACAAGTAAAAATGTATAGAAAAACTCGATTTTCAGCTATGAAACGTATACTAACAAGCTATAGGATGTCTATCGACACTTTCCAAAATTCTCTACATTTATTATCTCAAAAACACTATTTATGACTACAAAAGTCAATATTTATGCTCATTATCCTAATTAAAATCTCATCTATATTAAGGTATACAATGTGGGTTTGGGTGTACTAGTGTGTTTAATGAGAAGACTCAAACCCATATCAGCATAATATAAGTATCTGAAATACCTACAGGTTGTAACAGATCACGCGAAAAAAAAAATGCATGGCAAGCAAACTAAAGACAGCTACAATCTATCATGAACCAGCTAGATCTATGAAAAATACACTTGTTTGAACTTCCAGCTGATACAAATAAAAGGTTTTTCTATATAAAACACTAATACTCTGGTTAAATTGTTGTAAACTTTGCTTCCTTCAAACTATGTCTAGACTTGAGTGTGATGAGACGATAACTACAAAACTTTCACAATGAGTGTGTTTAGCGAGATCGAGATTAGAAGGTTTCACACACTGTTTGATTGTTGATATATACATATAGAAACCTGCCGTGGATAGAAAGTCATGGAGTGCATGTCGGTGTCATGATTTTTTTCAAATTGAAATAAACATTTGCTGTCATATTGAGCTATGCACAAAAGCAAAGTAAAAAAGAAAAAGAGAAAAAAAAAGCGAACGTATGTTAAATTTTACTAAAAGTGACGCATAACACTCACTGCATACAATTTCATTGACGAGAGTCTGCCGGCAATAATAACAATAATTTCTAAATAATTTTCATTTGTTTTATTCTCTAGACAAATTCTTAAATAAAAAAAACGAAATATAAAGTGAATAATCAACATGAATTTTCTTTTTCTGGCTTTAAAAAGTCAATAGTATTTTTTTCCCTTATAAATAACTTTGCTTCATAATATAGTTGCATTACTAATACACGTGAAGCAGAAAGAGTAATTCAACTATATATAGAGATGATTCATTTTTAATCGATGAAAAGGAAAATGAATACGTTGACAACCATAATTTTGTATAGGATTGAAGAGAAAGATAATTTTTTCTTTTTGAAAAAAAAAGTTTACGGTTGACTTATTTTGCTTATTCATACGTAGATGAATATGTCTATCAAACAGTTATTTAACATGATAGAGGAAAAAAAAATTATAAAGAAATGAAAGAAAAAATGATTTTAGTAATATCATTGATATAAAGTGCATAATGACCGAACGAACCATCTCAGATAGAATAATCTTATGAAAATCGTACAAATATCTTACTGTAAGATTCTTGCAAAGTCTGATAATTGAAGCCTGTTAAAATATGATAAGATCATAATTTTAGATGTTACTTATATAAATAGTTTTACTAATGATAGTTTTGTGCATTTAAATCACATATGTTCTAATTTAGATGGTAATTTTTTAGAATTGAAAATATATCTTCGATATAGCAGTGCTGATGTGTTAAAAACTCACTAGCAAGATAATTTAATCAAGCCCATAAAATAGAAGTAGGGTTTTTTTTGTTTATTTTACTTTTTTTTTAGCGATCAGATTCAATAAATTTTTTTTCCCCTTTTATATATCTTTTTTTGAAGCGCATATTATTATTTTCATTTAATTTTTATAAATCAATATCTATATGAAAGTAAAGATAGAACTTCAAAATAATACTTCGATTTCTTCTTTTGTCTCTGGAATTATTCATTGAACTAAAATGAAATGTTAGAAGACAAAATTTAGATAAGAATAGATGTTCACAACTTTAATTCATAGTTATTTTGAATCGATAAGATTTATAAATCAAAAATAGTTTATTTTTTTATTCTATTAAAAACAAACGTCGAAAAAAAAAACCTTCAGTGCTTATTGAACTTCCTTATTCTTGATAATTTAACATTATTAACGAATATAAAAAAGAAACTAATTCTATTTTGTTTTATTTTGAAAGTTAATGAATCTTTTTTCTTTCATTGATAAACATAACTCTAAAAAATTATTATATAGATAACTTCTTGTCGATCCGTGAAAATCATAGTGATTTGGTTTGATTTATCAGAATCATTTGAATCTATAGTCCATTCAAGTTCATCATAAAACACTCGTATTTGATTCTCATTTGTTGGACTATCATCTAAAAGTACATCTTTCTAAACATTAACCATATTCGTAAAGAATTCAATACCAAAATCTTCAAAATTATTTCTTGTACAACAAATAAGACGATATTGAATTAAAGCAGAATTATATCAATACACTTGAAAAATATTTCTAATAAATTATGCAGTTTTCAAACGTTGTGTCATATTAGCAAATACTATTTCTGATGATAGATTTATTTCATTAACTTTCACTCTACTAATATTTAAATAAATTTGATATATGCTAATGAATATGGACATGACTTGGTCGTATTTCATTTAATGATTATTGATTTCATATTTCCAAAATGAATAACCACAGAAAATCGGTGGTGTGGTGTACTCGCTAGTTGTACGATCAGTTTGCCAACAGTTTTGTGGCTTCAACCACATATAAGTATGCAGTTATTTTATTAGATGCCATCATCAAGCGACATCTGTTGTCAAAAAATGAATTTGTCAATACAAAGAAAAAGACATTATTCTATATATATATATGCGAGCATCAATTGGTTTTTTCAACAGAATAAAATCCTTTTCTTTTTGTTTATTAAATAATTATTTTATTTATAGTTGGATTTACTTATGAACGAATAAGAAAATTTGATTTATTAATAAGTTTGGTTCAATTAATTTTAGATAAATCTTTTGTTACTACATATAAAAGAAGCGATTACGAGAACGTATCCGTGTGTGTGTGGGTGTATATCTGCGTATATATATATACATATACATATGTATTATTAAAAGAATATAAAATTTAAAAATATGAACGATAATATTGAGTATAACTCAATGAATGCAAACCGAGCTCAACAACAAGATGGAAGACGAAATCGTCCAATGCGTGATGGAAAAATGGATTTTCGTTTTTTAATTCCATCTCGTGATGCAGGAGGTTAGAAAAAAAAATTCTTTTTTTCTTCTTTTAAAATTAAATAAAAACTTTTCTTTTATATTTTCAAGCAATTATTGGTAAAGGTGGAAAAATTATTCAAGATCTTCGTTTTAAACATCAATGTCAAATACAAATGGCTGATTGTGAAGTACCCGAACGTGTTTTAATTATTAATGGTGATCAAGTTAATGTACTTAATTGTATATCAGACATACTTTCATGTATTTCGGAAAATCATCAACGTTCAAATAAACCTGATCAAAATGAAGTACGTGCTCTTATTCATCAATCACAAGCAGGAGCATTAATTGGTAAGAGAAGAGAAAAACAAAAAAAGATTTTTTGTTTTGTTTTGTTAAATTATTAGTTTAATAAACCAATTTTGATTTTTATTAATTTTTAGGCAAAGGTGCATCAAGAATCAAAGAATTTCGAGAGAAACGTGAGTTCAAAGGACAGGTAGAATATGTTTTTCGAGTTAGTCAATAATCAGTAAAGTGTTAATATTGCTCTTTTTTAATTTAGATAATATTGATGTTAAAGTCTATCCTCAATGTTGTCCTGGAGGATCAACAGAACGATGTAAAAAAAAAAAAAAAAAAAAGCTTATAATTTTTACTTTCAAATTCTTTTTCTATATAAGGTATTTCAATGCGTGGCAATAAAGATGATGTTTTAGGATGTTTAACTGAAGTTTATAGTGTACTTGATAGTGTTCCACCACGTGGATCATATCGTTATTATGATCCATCAACATTTGATGGTTATAATGTTACAGATTATGGTGGTTATTCAGATAATTCAATGGGTAATCATCAATTAAATTCACGAGTAAATAATGCTGCTGGATATGTGAATAATTCGTATGTCAAAAAAAAAAAAACTATTTCTTTTTTTTCTTTTAATATTTTATGTTTTAGTTATAATTCACCACCACCACCAGGTTACCCATCATATGATGGGATATATTTAGATGATAGTTATGGTAGAAATCGAAATCGCCCTAGTGGTTATAATTCATTCTATCAACAATCTGAACCAGTAACAACTGCACAAGTGACTATTCCAAATGAAATGGCTGGTAAAATAATTTTGCTTGGTTTTTTTTTTTAAATTTTATTTGTGAATTAATTTTTTTTTTTTATAAAGGTCTTGTTATTGGTAGTAAAGGTTCGAAAATATCTCAAATTCGTCATGAATCAGGCGCTTCAATTAAAATTGATTCTGAACCAATAAATGGTACTAATGATCGATTAATAACAATAACGGGTAATACAAATCAAATACAACAAGCACAATTTCTTCTTCAACAAACTATTCGTCAATCAGGTTTATGGAATCAATAAAAATCTCATATATGTATAATAACGAACAAAAATTTAGAGCAATTGTATTTTCTTTTTTTCTTTTGGAGCGTTTTCTTCTCGATGATAATCACTAGGAAGGAAAAATTAAAAACTAGTTTTCTAGATTCTGCTTGAAACTTTTTGGAAGTGATTTTATTTGATAGAGCAAAATGAGATATCTTCGACCTTGTCATGATGTTCCTTCATCGAATTATATTTTATTTATAGAAGATTTCAAAGCATCGAAATTTTTCATAAAAACAACATCAAAATGCTTGTAGACTTTTCTGTAAATTGAATGTAGGTCGAAGACATTTCAGTTTACTCTACCATATAAAATCATTTAAAAAAAAAGTCTCAAATAGATTCCAGAAAACTTCATCCAAATTAGAATTTTTAAATCTACAAATCTTCATAGAGAAGCTGCTAAAAAACTTTTTTTGTCTAGCTATTACCATAGAGAAGAAAACTAGAACTGCTCTAAATTTATGTCTGTCGCTATATATTGTATACAAAAAATCCTATATTTGCTGTACATTTTACTCGCTTATTTCCTGTTCTGAATATCTTATATTGATGATGGGTGTAAACTTGAGAAAAACAGAAGATTACATTTTTTTTCTTTTTTTTTTTCTGTTGTATATACATTTGTGATCAATTGCGCATATATTCTTCATTTATGTGTTTATTTGTTGTCTTTGCTTGTGTACGTTTATGATTGTTTAAAAAAGAAAAAGGAAATAACAAATAAAAGAAAGAACGAAAGCAAAAAAAAGAATCGATACGCATAAAAATAATAGAGTAGATCACCCGTATCCAAATCATGATTTTTAAAAAAAGCATTGATATATATATATATATATATATACTTCTGTGCAGTCAAGTGCAACGTAACAAAAGACTAAACACACCTAGTAATTACACAAAATATTTGTGAGGTTTTTCAATTGATATTGTGGCTTAACTAAAATGTCTTGGCGATTAGCAATTCAATCAACTAAATTATTATTTTCATATGTTATACCTTATAAAATAAAATTATTTCGTGAAGCACTCTTAAATGCAAATATAGTAAGAATACGACAATTAGCTTATGAAAAACCAAAATTATTACAACGAGCAATTGATGCAGATGGTAATACTGCATTAGGTTTAGCTATTCTATTAGGTGAAGTAGATGTTGTTGCAACATTACTTGAACTTGGTAGTGATCCAAATATTGCAAATCTATTTGATGGTAATCATCCACTTGTTTTTTTGGCTAAATTACGTTCTGAAGAAAATTCTAAAACATTGACATTAGTCGATCTTTTACTTCATGCTGGATCAAATCCATTATGTGAAATACGTTGTCGAGCTGATAATATCAAACGTGTTGATCCAACACAAACACCATCATATTATGAAACACCATTACTTTGTTCTAGTATGTATTGAATTTAACATGTAAATAAAAAAAACAACATTTCCTTTTTTGTTGTTGTTTAGTCCGTTTTCAAAATGAAAGTGTTCTTAGAAAAATACTTCAACATGGAATTGATGTAAATACACTTAACCCCGAAACAGGTACGAGTCCATTAATGTTAGCTGCAGCACTTGGTTATCTTAATATATGTAATTTTTTACTTGATTTTGGCGCTGATGTCAATGCATGTGATTTTGCAGGTAATACACCATTACATTTAGCTATTCAAGGTTTTGGTGATAAGTTACCTATTCTACATACATTACTTGAATATGGTGCTAATATTAATGCAATTAATCAAGATGGTTCTACTCCAGCTATGTTTGCTGAACAAATACAAGATGAAGAATGCATTAGATTACTTCAATCAAGATTAAATGATACAAAAGATCCACCACGATATCAAGAAGTCGAAGGAAATCATCAAGAACAGATAGATCAAAAATATTTTTCATTTACATAAAGTCATAAGAAAGACAGTATTTTATATACAGTTAATACTAAATTTATTCACTAAAATTTATTTCTAAATTTTCTATTTTATTGTCGTAAATGTTAGGAAAATTTCAAATAGAGAAAATTATTTTCAAAAACAATATAACATAAATATAATTTTGTTGAGACTATGTAAAAACAGTAGAGAAAGTAATTCTCGATACAATCAGATATCTCCGAGTTCTCTGCGGCGTTTTTTTTTTAGTTGAGATACAGAAATCTTACGGAAGTCCCTAAAGTCATTTCGTTACCAATTTCCTATAGAAAAATTACTTTTTGACCTTCAATTAAATTACTGTATTTCAACTAAAAAAACATTGCAGAAAATTCGGAAATGTCTCATTTTGTAGAGAATTATTTTTTTTTCTGCTATTTTATATATTCTAAACAAAATTATATTTATATTATATTGTTTTTCAAAAACAATTTTCTCTATTTGAAATCATTCTAGTGAGTATGGCAATGAAAAGACATTGAAAATAAATCTTGTTGAATAATTTTAATATTCACTATTTATCTAATTATATTTCATGTACAAATAAACCTAATATATGGAAAAAATACATTGTATGATTAATATTCAATTTGTTTTGCTTTATAAAATTTCATTTATTTAATAATTATGCTTATTTTAACTAAGTTATTTATTTTAGAAATATCGATTGTATTATTCTTTTAATGATGAAATTATTGTCTTTTAGTACTTAGTGACACTTGAAAAAAAAAAAGGTTTTATACTGATGTAATATTCTTATATGCATATGATTGCCTCGAAATATAATCTATGCGTAAGACATAATAAAAATGTATATATATTAATGATATCCATAATGATATGTTTTTTTTTTGAATAACTATGAGAACTATTTTTTCCATCTGTAAATATTAATTAATGTACAAATTTAGTAACTGCTTAAAAGTATCAATCATGATGATGATAATTCTTAATGCCAGCTGTTAAAATATATCTTTAGTTAAGTATTATCAAATATTCACGTTATTTGAGTACACATATAAGTTCTCATAGATATCCTGCCTTTACAAAGAACACTCCCTAAGATAAGAACATTACAAGATCTTTCATTTTGCAAAAAAAAAAAGATTGATAAATCTCGAGTACAGATATAGGACATAAATATCTTTTATATCGAAAGATAAAAAAAAAAAAGAGCAAGTTAGACGAAGGAATAGATAACTATATGCCATCACGCGCTAGTTGTGCATATTTTTTTCTAATATATAAATTTCATGCATGATTATTATTGATAATAAAAAAATCATGCGTAAACAATATGTTGAAATCTGTTTTACGTAACATGATATTTATATTTCTATAAAATATCTTTTTAATTTGTTCATACAAAAGAATACTTTTTCGGATTATTTTATTTCTATTATCATCATTAAATAACATGCAAGATATATAAAGAATGTCCCAAAAGTTCGATCGAAAAAAACAACCTATAAATAGTAATTCAAATGAATTACACTATTCTTGTTTTTACTGTATGTTCTTATATTTATTAAATTTTTATTCATGACAGAATTTGAATCCGTCAGCATTGTAACAAGAAAAATACAAGTTGAATTTAGAAAGAAAATATATTTCTTGAACATTGCATTAGAATCATACTCCAATGATTTTGTGAAAATTAGCCAGGATCCAGTGTTCTGTCTATTGATTAAGTTTGCTCAATACGGTGAATAACAATACATCGATTTATGACGAAAGATCTCTCCTATTAAACTCATATGAAATAAAGTTTGTTTAACAACTCTACAAAAATAAGTTACATGGATCAAATACTTGACTCTGGTTCATTTTCTGAGCCGTTATTAATTGCATTGACTTTCTCTTCAGTATTAGTTTGACAAAACTGCTAGAATATAACCCTAAAATGCAATGTCTAAGTGACGTTCTAAACTCAACTTTGTAATTTTATAAAAGTGGCGGATTCGAATTCTTCCACGAGTAAAATTATTTTAATTATGATATCTATAGGTAGAGACATTTTATCTGAAATAAAACTTTAATGAGTATCAGAGCAAACACTAAAACAAATAATGTAACTCTTTTGAACTGCTATTTATGTTCTTTTTTTTCGATTGGACTTTTTAGACAATCTGTATAATATATAATCTTTTTCTTTTTCATCGAACTATTATTTTTACAAAATATAACGAGACTCGCTAGATTGGTAGTTTTTATTACTTTTGATATGGTTTCTTTTCTTTTTTTTATTGCGTAAAGTTTACAATAATCTTATCATAAGGACATTTTTATCAAGAATAAACCCAAAATACAAAAAAAGAAAACAAGATAATTATATACATGTGTTTTTTTAAATTAATAATGAAGAAATATTAGAACATTCATTTATTAACAAAGAATTCTTACATAAAATTGAAAAATATTTGTTTTTATTGTAATAATATGTAGAACATTTTATCATGGTTAATTATTGAAAAATTCAAAGTTTATTTTTTTTTATTCGTCCAATCAATTTAATCCATAAAGAAAAATATCATATTTTTTTTTTTTTGTTTTTTAAATAAAAACTATATAAACTTAAACTTTTTACATATACAAGGTCCAAATAAAAACATTCGAATTTGTTTTTTTTTTATAAGCAAGATTAAATATGCAAACAAACGAACGAATTCTTCTACTCAATTATTAATTTTGATATTCGCTGTAAATCACCGCTCTTCTTTCTTTGTTTTAAACACAGTGACTGGTTAGAAGAAGAAGAAGAAGAAAAAAAAAAGAAAAAAAACCAAACGAAACGAATGTATAATTTTGAAAAAGAGAAAAGAAAAAACAAAAACGATGTCATGTTGGCACACACACACACACACACACACACGCACACATACACGCACGTACGCTATATACCAATCGTTTGTCTTCCTGTACAGAGTCAAAAGTCATTTACAAACAGAGAGATATAACACATATGATAAACGTTGAATGAACAATGATTGTTGAATACAAGAAACAAAAACGTATGATTTGTACAAAAAGAAAAAAGAAAAACAGAAACGCAGTTGAGGTAACCACAAAGAAAAAATACGATGACAAAACCTAACCGGCAAGCATCATCACTAAAGAAGAACACACCGGACTTACGGAAAAAAATAATAAAACAAAAAAAAAAAAAGAAAAGAAAAGAAATGTTTCTTTTTCACACTGTAGTCAAGTCACCGGAGAACATTCAAAAATTGTCCCATGTTTATTAAACTCGGAAATTGATACTGTATTTTTGGACCAAGTAAACAAAATATATATATATATATATCTAAATTATGTTCTCTTTATGTATTCAGACTATTGCTTCGTTGTTGTTTTGAAGCATACAAACGTTCCATATCATTTATTATTCCTTGAACAAAACCATCAGTGTTGCCAGCAACTGGTTTACCTTAAAATAATTAAAATAAAAATGTTGTTTTTCTTTTTGTTTTTTTTTTAATGAGATAAAATCAAATATGTACTGTATTTATTGGCAATCAATTGATCTAATGCCATTTCAAGTGATTGATTTGGTGATGATGATGGAGAACTAAGTTGACCATTATGATATCGTTTGAGAATAAGTAATTTTACAGCTGTCATTAAATCAAGTAATGTTTCTAAATGAGTTTTTAAAAAAAAAATTAGTCTTATGAATAAATCTTAGAATTATTTTAAAATTTATATATATCAAATTTTAAATAATTTTAACAACAAAGAAAAACAATATACTATTCGTTTTGAACACATTTATTATTTTCAATTTCTTTTCTTTTTTATAATAACTTTCTAATTATAGTTCAAAACAGGATATTAAATATTTTTTCATTGAGTCAAGTGTTCATAAGAATAACAAGACTAAAGACATATTCAAAGTTAGATGCATTGAAGTATTCCTACGCGAATTCAACTTTATCGTTCTGTTTTTGATTATGTGCCAAAAGAGAAAAAAAAAACAAAGGAAAGCTAATCCAAAATAGAACAAGGGAAATAAAAGATACTATTTCTCTGGAGAGGAATGAAAGGAAAAAAAAAAGAAGATCACAAGCTACTTAATATAAAGGTCGTCTGTAGACTTCTTTTTCTTTTTCTTTTTCTTTTTTGTTCTATTTTCATTTAATTGTAATATAAAGAAGAAGAAAAATAAAAAAACAAGTCTATAAGAAACTTACTGTGTTCGTCATTCAACCCGTGTAATTTTAGTTTGTTTGCTTCATGTTGTGCTTTCTTACGAAGTCGACAAGCTCTGTATAATAAATAATTAAACTAAAAAAACAAACAAGAAAACTTTCTTTTTGTCGAATACAAACCGACTAGCGATTTTATTTTTTTCTTTTTTAACTTCAGCTGTATCATTATTATTATTATTTATTTGATGATCAATATGATAAATTCCATGATAAACAGATTGTGTATTTGAATTTGTTTTACCAACAAATGATGATAAATCTCGTATTTGTTTTCCAAGTTGATAGAGTTTCATTGGATTTGGTGTTACATCATTTCCATCACCCTTTCGAAGTTTAGTAAATGTTTGACCTTTTGTTTGTGTTAATTTTATTTGATAAACTGGATCACTAAATTCTCGAAATAGATGTGGATCACGTTCTTTTAAATAAAGTATTCGTTTTGTTTTAGGTCCTTTAGCTTGAACATTATATTGCCAAAAAAGTGATGCAGAATTTGATTGTGATGGTGTTGATTTTGTTGTTTCTAAATCCTTATTATAAGTACTTGATACTGTTGTTGCATCATCATCACTTGTTATATCACCATCGTCAAGATCATTATCTTGTATATGATCGGAAGAATTTTGTTCTATATCCGACCACAGATCAGGTTCACTTTGTTGTTCCATTGTACAAGCTGGACTACTTGGATCATCTAAATAAAAATTGATTTTTATTTTTAGTTTATTTTTTTTTTTGTTTAAAATTACCTTTTATTTCTTGAACGGGAAAGCCAACTAAAGATCTTTTTCGAGCAAGAACAGACGAAGAAGAAGGAGAAGATGCAGCACCACCACCTGTTGGTTGATTAAGTGAATATAATGTGCAATTGGTTGTTTGTTGTGGTTGAAAATTCATATCTGGTAAAAATCCTGTTTGATTTCGTTGATGATGAAGTGGATAAAATGATGGTGTACCACCAAAAGATGCTGATAAATTAGTAGTTTGACGAAGTTGTAGTTGTTGTTGTTGATTTAATACTTCAGAAAATGAACTTGATGTTGGTCGAGGACAACCAACAAATGGCCATGCTGTATTTGATAATACATCATTTGAAAGTGGTGATGTTGATGAAGCTGTTGTTGTCGTAGTTGGTGTTGTTGTTATACTTGTTGATGATGTTCTATTTTGGTAATATGGAGGATTTATATAAGGATGTAATTTAAGACGATATGGATCAAATAGATGAGGATCTAGAGTAGATGAAAGAAAAAAATTAAATGAATAAATAAATATATATATATACCTAATTTAGTTTGATGTTGTTGTGTTGGCCCTTCATTCATACTAGCTGAACGAAAACGTTTAACATCTGATAGACCAGTATTTATTGGTAATTCAAATGGATATGATGTGCCAAGAATAGACGTATTTTGTTGTTCTTGAATATATGGTGGTGGATGTAAACTATTTTTTGAATTAATTACTATTGGAGATTGACCAAATGATTGAAGTGATGTTGATGAATTATTTGAATCTTGTGGTGGTGGTGAAAATGTATGATGATGTTGATTAATACTTAATGTTGTAAATTTTGGACTTATACCTAATACTGAATATGCTGATGCTGTTGAATTTGACCGTGAATTATTATTAGCAGAATATGTTGTATGTGATGGTGATGCCATGTCATAAATATTCGTTGATTGAGAATAATCTGTTGTTGATGATGGTGATATTGGTGATACAGCTGATGCTGTAGTTACTGGTGCTGTTGATGGAGTTTCAAGTAAATCAGATATTGAATCAAGATCAAGTTCTAATGGTGCGCCAGATGATAGAGTATCATCAAGTAAAATAACATCTTCATGTTCATGTTTCATTATTTCATCAATAGCATCACAAAATTCTTTATTTGATGTTGGCTGTTCTAACCAACATGCCATTTGATTTTCTTTGATATCTAAAAATAGGATAATATATTTAGGTATTTGTTTATTTATTTATTTATTTACTTATTTATTTATTTTTATTTATTTATTTATATTTATTTATATTTATACGAAAATGTCAAAAGAAATTCTTACTAGAGGTTTAATACTTTTGAAATCTTATTTGCTTGACTAAATCCAATCATTATTAATCTGAAAAAAATGAAGTTTATTTATATATATATATATATATAAACAAACATATCCGTGTCAATGATAGCATTAGAAAATCTTATTTTCTGACATATAATCTAAAATACGCTCAGTGTAATTCACTTGTCGTTTCCGTGTCTTTATAGACAAGTTTAGAATGAAGTAAAACAGACAACATAATAAAAAGCTTCGACTTTCTTTTCTATTTAATATAAGAACTCATCAGATTAGCAATTGAAAATTAAAAAAGTCAGGATTTTTATAATATACTTGAACATGAATTACTCATTACTTTTCTAGGAAAAAGTCGATTGATGATCATTGTGTTATTATCGACATTAATTATATACGAAAGAATATGCAAAATATATAAATTAACATGTGATCTATTTTTTGTTCCTCCTTGTCAAGGATTTTAATTGTATATCTTTAAGTTCAGAAGAAAAAAAGAAACAAAATGAATCAAGAAAAAAAAACATAAAACATGTACTGGATTTATATTTAGTAACACACACTCATTTCCTTATTTCTTTTTAGGTTTGCTTAAGGTTAAATACTACGAATAAAACTATGAAAAAAAAAAACCTAACTGACCAATCGAAAACTAATTCACCGGTATTGTTTTTCTTCTTCCTTTCTATAATATATATATATGTGCAAGTCGTTGATTCGCGCGTAAACACGCGTGTAGTTGACGCTTAATGCATGTATATTTGTTCTGAGTAGAGGAGAGCGAGGATGCGAAAATGTTGTGTTTGTAAAGAAAGAAAGGAACAGGAAAAAAGAAAAGAAAAAAAAATAGGGAGGAACTTGTTATTGTCTTTCTTACTGTGTACTCGTTGCATTATGCTCCTTATAGCGTTCCCATATACCAGATCGTTTGAGAAAGAATAGAGTAAGATAGAATTTATTTGATGCTCTATAATAACAACATGCCGGTAGTTTGTTAGCAGCAACTATTATTTATATATTTAGATAAGTCATTGACAAAGATCGCTTGTTTTCATGAGTGACTAGTTGTAGAACTTTTAGAACGTACATTTGTACTCAATCGAAAAACATCCGATAACAAACTACCAAACAAAAGCGGGAATATGCAGCTGACGACATTTTACATACAATAGTGCATATTGGACTGATTCTTTTTTTCTTTCTTTTTAGTAATCATTTCTATCTCTCTTTTTTTTTTTTTTTTCTTACGATTTCTGGCGCGTATCAAATATGTGAAGAGGATAGCGCGTACAAAAAAACAACAAAGAAGATCACAAATAATAACCACGATATTCGAAGAATAAATATAAATTAGAAATTATTCTATGCATTACATACTGTCAATATATATATGTCTAATAACTAGAGCAAAAAAAAACACCTTTGTCAGGCAAACTATGACTACAAATGTTGCTATTTTCATCATAGTCATGAGTAACAGATAATTTACTCTACGACAGAAAGAAAGAGATACGATTTCTTAGAGGAAAAAAAAAACAAAAAACAGCGACATCATTGACCTTTTGTTTTCATGTGCCAGTGCATATATGCCATATCTATTTGTTGACAAAAAAAAAAGGGTGTGCTGATGAGTTTTCATCAATATAAAGAATAGGACAGGAAAAGCCATAATTTTGGCACGAACCTTACAAGAGACAGAACACAACAATATTGTAAATTGAAAATAGGAAAAAGAAAAAAAAACTATTCATGCAATTCATAATTATATCCTATTTGCTGTTTTCTCGATCAATGGGAAAATAATGGAGGACAACTTATATAAACGACTAAATGGCAACACCTATCATTTACTATTGGATGGTTATCGATTGTCGTTACATACGATGTTAACGTTAAAATATGCATAGCGCCCATTGGTAAGAATCATTTTTTACCGATTTGCGCTAGAATTTTTTATTTTTTTTTTTATGTCCTGAACTTTTTTATGATTTTAGATTGTTATTCATTCGATTTTTTTTCTGTGATTAGCAAGCCTTGAACAGAAATCGACTAACGAGAAGTTTGTGTTGTTTTTCAAAAAAAAAAAGGTTGATCTTATGAACCCGAGTCCTGCCAATTTGGTACATGACGTTAAAACAAAAATAAATAGATATTTTTATTCAAAATTATATTTTAGGGTTTGAATACCGCTGTTTCAACATTTGTTCAAAATCCTTCAACGTAAGTATTTCATATTATTTAATACAAAAACGAAAAATCTAAATCTAAATATCATTTCTTTCTTTTAAAGACGACCACCATCAACAACTGCAACAATTGTTTCAAATATACAAAATAATTCATCACCTATAAATTTTTTTGCAAATTTATCTAGTGGTATATTACCATCAAATAATACAAATATATCAACATCCAGCCAAGGGCAATCGACATCATCAGTAAGTTATATTTAATTATTATTTTGATAATATATATTTACTTATTTATTTCATAGCGCCTTAAAGTGGAGGATGCACTTAGTTATCTCGATAAGGTGAAAAACCAATTTGCGCTTCAACCGCAAGTATACAATCAATTTTTGGATATTATGAAAGAGTTTAAATCACAAAGGTATTTTTCTCAAAGTGAAAATCTTATCTTTTTTTTTTTTGAAAATTCATGTTTTTTTTTTTCTTTTTTAGTATTGATACTCAAGAAGTAATCAATCGTGTATCAACACTCTTTCATGGTCATCCAGATTTGATTGTTGGTTTTAACACTTTTTTACCTCCAGGTTATAAAATTGAAGTTAGTAGTGAACATAGTGGTTATATTCAAGTAACACATCCATCATCACGAACAGAATCTATTGCTATTGGAAATTATAATAATAATAATTCAACATATAATTTATCTATAACAACACCAACCTCAACAACATATCATTCATCATCAACTATACGCCAAACATCAAATTTATTAAATCAAGATAATGATGACGTACAAATTAAAAATGATATACAACAACAATTAATTAATCCAACATCACAAGCTGTGAATGCATTAATATCAGCAGCTAGTGCACCACAAATACCATATTTTGGTACAACAGGTGGATTTAATTTATCAACAAAAACAAATAAACAACAAATATCAAATAATAATAATAATAATAATAATACAACAAATTCTAATGGACAACCAGTTGAATTTAATCATGCAATTAATTATGTGAATAAAATTAAAAATCGATTTCATCAGTAAACTTTTTTGTTTTTGAATTAGTAGAATTTAATATAGTTTTACTTTTTTTAGAAATCCTAATGTATATAAAACATTTCTTGAGATTCTTCATACATATCAAAAACAACAAAAAGATGCAAAAGAATCACCAACAAGTAATGAATTAGACATGTTACTAATTCTTGGAACATCATATTAAAGAAACCCGTTTTCCTATATAGACAACATAAGTTTCTCTCAATTGTCTGTATCAGCCTTACTCTATTCAAGCCTATGCCTAGAATACAAAAGGATGGTTTCGAAGTAGAAATCTAACAATAGTTTCTGATAGAACATTCAAAACTAGTGACAACTACTTATGAATAGTTATCGGAAGTTTGATAGTTCTCAATGCTAGAAATATACTAATATTTGACTCAGTGTTTTATTCAGATTTCCTCTTCCGGAAAGGCCAATCTACTCTTCAGAGGAACGCTGCCTCCTCTGGCTTCGCACTCGATAACACACTGACTCGACCCAGGACGTCAGGAATTGGGGTATCTATACTAGATGTAATCTATTCCTAGCATGGAGAACTTTTAAGCTTCTGACAATTCTTCATAAATTAGAATTCGTCGAGTTGATTGAGAACCCAACCCGAGTCTAAAATTTTTCTGTTGGCTAGATCCGAAATTTTCAGACTCGATAGGCTCTAGAAGTGGTTGGAATTGACACTAAAAATGTAAATTTCGATCAATTCTGGAACCTTTATTTTGTATTTCATGTATTCTGACTATAGTTTTGGATGGAGCAAAAAATGCTAACAAGGAAACGTTATATCATTTTTGAGTCGGGACTATATGCGTCATGTAAGTTCTAATGAGTTATGAGTACCTCTCTTCAAGAACACTAGGAAAACTGAGTTTCAAATCAAAATTGGAAATTCAGTTTTGCCGTTGTTTTTGAAAGAGATCACGGTATTCTGCTGAAAACTACGGTTAAGATATAGTATCTCGGCAGTCATATGCTATATGTCTAAATTCTTTTCTGAGTATGCATAGCTCTTTCGAATCTACATGATGCACATAATCCTGACTCAAAAGCGATTTGACATTTAGAAGTATTCCCTTGTGAGTAATATTGATATAGAAAATCGACAGGAATTCGTTATGTGTATACAGGAAAAAGATCATCTTCGATACGATGTTCTAAGAATTGGTAGAATGTCTGATTCATTTTTTTAATATTAAGAAAAACAAATTTATTTTCGTTTTTATAATTAAATTCAATAGCTTCATCAACAACAATGAATAATGGAGGAAATAATCAAACAACATTCCTTTCTGAAACAGAAGTTTATGCAAAAGTAGCACAATTATTTACTAATCATGAAGATCTTCTTTCAGAATTTAGTCAATTTTTACCCGATGCTACTCAACAACCAACAGTAAATTTAAATAAAAGAAAAGAAAATTTTTTAGTTTCTTGTTTTGTTTTTCTATATAAAGGAACGTATGAATTCTATTTCGGATATTTTATCATCATCAGATACTTCAACTTCATCAATAAATTCAATTATATCCAATACAACACCACGTTTAATTATAAATAATACTGTTTCATCATCAATAACAACACCATCAACATCA